GAGACAGAGAGACAGACAGAGAGACAGAGAGACAGACAGACAGACAGAGAGACAGACAGACAGACAGAGAGACAGACAGACTGAGAGCAAACATGCTGGAGAGGAAAAGGATCAAATACAGACGGAGAGGAAAGGATATATTACAGCTAATGGCTTCATGCAGTCACACACACACACACACACACACACTGGTGTGGTGGTGTAATGGGGCGTGATGTTCCTGAGCTCGGCCTGTTACAGGTGACTGAACCCCAAGTATGTGTGTGTGTGTGTGTGCGTGTCCGTCCGTCCCAATGGGAAAAAGTGTGTGTGGTGAATGAAAGTGAGATATGTGTGTGTGTTTAAAAATATGTATTTCTGACTGTATAACATTGTGTTTTTTTCTAAATGCATTCCTTAAAATAGTCCCTCACTGACCTCCTTCTTCTTCATCACACACACACACACACACACACACACACACACACACACACACACACACACACAGCTGAGGGAAGTTGAGGACAGAGGGAGCAGGAGGAGGAGACGAGATGGATGTGAGAGGAGATGAAAGGAGAGACGAGGACAGACGGAGGAGGAAGATTAACGATAAAAAAAGCAGACAGAGACTTTCTCCACATTCCGTCAAATGCCCGGCACCTCCTCACGTGACCTCCTCGCTCCGTTCTTCTCTCTCCTCACTCCTCTCCTCTCTTTCCTCACTACTCTCCTCTCTCTCCTCTCCTCTCTCCTTCTCCCTCAGCCTTTTCTTCCTTATGACCACTAGCGTCCAACTGAAGCAGGACCTTTAAAGGCCGTGAGACTCTAAACTTAAAGAGTCTCACTTAAATCTGCCAAGTGATTTGCTTTTTTCTTGCCAGGAGTCAGAAGACTGATACCACTTATTGTTTAAAATATGGAGCTTTGAACCAGGACGTAGCTTAGCTTAGCATAAAGACTGGAAGCAGGGGGAAACAGCTAGCTAGGTTCGTATGACGTCTTATGAAAAAGTTCTTCCTTAGTTTCCGTGTGTTTCGGGGGTTAACTTTAGGTTTTCGCACATAAGATACGTGAATATCAGAGTGGTATCTTGATGAATGATGCTGGTGACAGTTGTACTGATATCACTTAGGTCGCCGATTAATTAGCATAAACAAACGTGTGTTTAACAAGAAATAAATGTGTTCAAATTGCATTGATATTGATAGGATGTTTTTTTAATGATTTTATCTGAATGTCAGAAGGTGACGCAGACATATGCATCAGTTTAACTATAATCTCAACTGGAACTCAAATATGTAACTTTAATAAACTTTACTGACATATAAAAACATTAAGTTGAGCAGAAATGAAATGTTTTTGTTTGTATTTCTGTCCTGTCATTCACAAGATATCTGTAATAATTCAAAATCAGATGCCAGGTTCCATCTCTCCTCTTCTCCTCAGGCCTTTCCTCCCCACCTCATCCTCCCTCACCTTCGTCTCCTCTCCGCACCAATCTCCCACCTTTCCCCTTTACCCCTTTACTCCTGCTTCCTTACTGCCTCCCCTCCCTCCCTCCCTCCCTCCCTCCCTGTCAGTAGAAGGCTTTTAACCCGTGTGACCTGCAGGTCAAGCTGGTCAGACTGGTTTTAAGTGCTTTAAGTGTTCCCAGGCCCATTAAGACCAACAAACAACACCAGAGAGGACACAAAGTAATCCCCCCCCCCTCCTCTCTCCCTCTATCCATCTCTGTCTCCTTTCTCTTCAGCTTGTCATCATATATTCAGGCACATCTGGTCAGGTGAAGGGGGGGCGTCGAACCCGCAAGCTCCAGGTAACGTGTGCATCATGTACGACCCGGAGGTCCGACCCAGTGAGACTGCTCAGACTGGTCCCAGTGTTCTCAGGCACATTAACCCATTAACACCACCGCCAACATAAACAGCTCCACAGCAATCACACTTTCACTACCTCTCCCTTCTTCCTCCTTCTTTCCCCCCCCTTTCTCCGTCTCTACTTTCCTCTGTTTAGGATTCTCCACGACTGAACGACAGGACGTTAACTTTGAGATCGCAGAAAGAAAATGTTGTAATTAAAGCTCCATTAGTTTCTCCTTAAAACGTCCCACCGTTGCTTTTCCTCGTCTTCTGAACACACAGCACCCGTCATACAAATGCATCCTTTTAAAGCAAGTATACGAGCGCTCACATGCACCTCGTTCCCTTTCTTTCTACCTCATTCCCTTCCTTTCCACCTCCCTTCCTTTCTACCTCGATCCCTTCCACCTCGTTCCCTTCCTTTCCACCTCGTTCCCTTCCTCCTCCACCTCGTTCCCTTCCTCCTCCACCTCGTTCCCTTCCTCCTCCACCTCGTTCCCTTTCGTCTACCTTCACCCCTCAGTTTCTTCCCCTTCCCTCCCGGCTTCTCCTCTAAATATACAATAACACAAAATGTGTTTGTGTTGGGGTTGAAAAAGTTGAACCTTCATTTAAAAGTCAAGTAAAATAAGGAGACGAATGCATCATTTTCTAAACACTAAGAGCATGACATGATAAAGCAGTTTGGGGACATAATACAGCAGGTAATGTTTGTCTTATTTCAAGTTGGTATTATGCAGATTTCTTGTCATTCTCTGTGCCGATAGACGTGCAAAAAGATATTTAAATAATCTAAATTAGGGAGTGCAAAGAGCACGGTTGGAATTTCTGTGCACATTTGGTTTTAGAAGGAAGAGTTGTTTAATTCTTTCTCTTTCTGTGTAGATGTGTGTGTGTGTGTGTGTGTGTGTGTGTGTGTGTATGTGTGTGTAGATGTATGTGTGTGTGTGTAGGTGTGTGTGTGGTGCTTGGAGCTATCCTCAGGTTATAGTACTTGACAGCTCAGGTTAAACCAAGTACCAACTGTTTTGAAGAGGTGAAAGGTCAAGAGGGGTGGAGATGGGGATCTAAACCGCACAAGGAGATGGTAAAGTGTTGAGTGTGAGTGTGTGTGTGTGTGTGTGTGTGTGACCTTTCGTTGCCATGTGCAAATAATATAAAAAGCAAAACATGGAGAGAAAGAAACACATCTGAAGGTACATTTGTCCCGAGACATCGGTGCTCTGGTAATCTGAGGTGACCACCATGTTAAACACTGACCTTTGACCTCTGCCGGTCAGGAGCAGGTCTGACCTTAAAACACAACGAACCTGATCTCCACTCAGAGAGAAGGAACGCCGTATTTACTACACTCACAGGCATTTGCTCCTTTACTGGATCTGAATGTTTTGGTTCAATGTATTCTACATTTATATCCACATCTACAAATACAACTGTTTCACACATGCAAACTGATTTACTGTATAAACACACACTTACTCCACCTATGAACCAATTACATGATGTGTTCACAATCTATTTGCACATTTAAACGCCTTCACCAGACTGTTTGTTGTTTGGTCAGTCAGTGTGGTCTCAGGCTTCTCATGCAACACTAATCACTAAAGATGCACTAATAACTGACGTCTATGAATCATTACCAAAGTACTTCAGCCAACACATCCAAGAATGGTGAAAAGAGGAGACGTCACGGCGCCGTACCGCGACACGTCATTGGAGTACAACACACGGGCAGTAAAGTCTAGTCCGCACTTCATCCGAAGTCATTCACTTCAGGGCTACTTTATGGGAGAGAATACATTCTGCAAAAGTAAACACTAAAGCGCGTTCATTTAATACTCAGCGATCTCTGGGAAGTGAGATCCACATATACACCTGCAGTTACAGCTCATCACCACAGGGGTCACCAAAGAGAACAAAATGGAGATCTCTGAGATGTTAAAAGCCGAGTGAGGAGGAGAGCAGCAGATCAATACAGAGAGGGGGGGGGGGGGGGAAAGAGAGGGGATGAGGAGAAGGAAAGGAAAGAGAAGGAAGCAGAGAGAAAAGATGGGAAGAGGAAATGGTAGAAAACAGGGAGGGAGAGGGTGGGAGTGGGAAAGAGAGAGGGAACAAAGGAGGCAGTGTGTGGTGAACAGGGGAGAGAGTCGCCATCTGAGACGAATAAAAAGTGGAATAACAATAAAAGTCAGAAGGCGCTACCTCCCTCCCCCCCAACACTGGACAGCATGTGCACACACACACACACACACACACACACACACACACACACACACACACACACACTTTTATTGTCCTTTGTTTTCTGTTAAGTAGCTTTGAGACAAATCCCTTTAAGAAAGCTGTGTGGACGCACACTGAGCCAGAGAATCAAAGACACATGCGACAGCAGCACACGTGCACACACACACACACTCACACACACGACTCTTGTAGGACAGAGTTGTGTGTTTACATCTGTTTCAGTGTGTGTAAAGTGTGAAGGAGACGACGAGCAGGTGAGAGAGGAGAAGAGAAAGTGATGATGAGAAACAGAAGAGGAAGGTGTCACAGCAGCAGCGTTGCTGTTATTAGTGTTGCTCGTGTTTCACCAAATTACTGCCACGTTTTCCCAGAACACCCGCTGCTTCATCGCAGTTACTTGCATCTGTTCTTTTTCTTTCCTGGTTTTTGTTTTTATGATACAAAGGAGAAAAAGGTTGAACTAAGTCATCAAATGACGTCAGAAACAAACCAGAATTTCCCGCATCGCGGTTTTGTTTTCATGTCTGTCCAAAATGTCGTCACTTCATCATTTGATCCGGTCAGACGTGAGTGAAACTCTCAGTTAGCGTATGAAATCTTGAGTTATGGCCTTTGGCTGTACGTTAGAAGTGGACATATTCGTCGTGACGTCACCCGTTGGTTTGTGGACTGTGGTTTGAAAGCCTCAAGTTTGATATTTTGGCCGTCGCCCTTTCTTGGGGTTTTTTTTGCAACCAGTGAACAG